CATTTGCCCCCACTCATCACGTAATGTCCACCACGTTCATTGTCCCCCCCCCACTCGTCATCACCATCACTGTTCCAGTGCAACATTGCCCCCACATTAGTAATAATAGCCAGTAACATTGCCCCCACATTAGTAATAATAGCCAGTAACATTGCCCCCACATTAGTAATAATAGCCAGTAACATTGCCCCCACATTAGTAATAATAGCCAGTAACATTGCCCCCACATTAGTAATAATAGCCAGTAACATTGCCCCCACATTAGTAATAATATAGCCAGTAACATTGCCCCCAACATAGTAATAATAGCCAGTAACATTGCCCCCACATTAGTAATAATAGCCAGTAACATTGCCCCCACATTAGTAATAATAGCCAGTAACATTGCCCCCACATTAGTAATAATAGCCAGTAACATGGCCCCCAACATAGTAATAATAGCCCAGTAACATTGCCCCCACATTAGTAATAATAGCCAGTAACATTGCCCCCAACATAGTAATAATAGCCAGTAACATTGCATTGCCCCACTTCTCACCTGTTGTTGTAGATCCGCGCTATGGTAGGATCCACGAGCAGAGGGGGGGTGATGACGTCAGCGCGCACCGCCGGGTGTACTAAGATGGCCGACCGCTCCAGAGATAGGCCAAAGCCGCGGCCTTTCCTACGGCCGTGGCCGCGCCTCACGGATTCTCTCTCTATTCGTCGTATAAGACGCACCAACTTTTCCCCCCCAGTTTTGGGGAAGAAAAACTGCGTCTTATACGGCGAAAAATACGGTAGGTGTATTGTAACACTGAGAGACGGAATAGCAACAAAAAAATTCAAAAGAAATGCATGTCTAACAAATTATGCACTGATTTGCATGTTCATAAGGGAAATAAATATTTGATCCCCGTCACAAAACATGACTTAGTACTTGGTGGCAAATCCCTTGTTGGCAATCAGAGGTCAGACATTTTCTGTAGTTGGCCACCAGGTTTGCACATATCTCAGGAGGGATTTTGGCCGACTCCTCTTGGCAGATCCTCTCCAAGTCATTAAGGTTTGGTGGCTGACATTTCGCAAATCGAACTTTCAGCTCCCTCCACAGATTTTCAATCAGATTAAGGTCTGGAGACTGGCTTAGGCCACTCCAGGACCTTAATGTGCTTCTTCTTGAGCCAGTCCTTTGTTGCCTTGGCTGTGTGTTTTGGGTAATTGTCATGCTGGAATACCCATCCACGACCCATTTTCAATGCCCTGGCTGAGGGAAGGAAGGTTCTCACTCAATATTTGACAGTACATTGCCCCGTTCATCATCCCTTTGATGCGGTGCAGTTGTCCTGTCGCCTTAGCAGAAAAACACCCCCAATGAGAATGTTTTCCACCACCATGTTTGACAGTTGGAATGGTGTTCTTGGGGTCATAGGCAGCATTCCTCCTCCTCTCCAAACACGGCGAGTTGAGTTGATGCCAAAGAGCTCGATTTTGGTCTCATCTGACCACAACACTTTCAACCGGTCCTCCTTTGCATCATTCAGATGTTCAGTGGCAAACTTCAGACGGGCCTGGACATGTGCTTTTTTGAGCAGAGGGACCTTGTGGGTACTGCAGGATTTCAATCCTTGTCTGCATAGTGTGTTACCAGTTGTTTTCATGGTGACTGTGGTCCCAGCTGCCTGGAGATCATTGACAAGATCCTCACGTGTAGTTCTGGGATGATTCCTCACTGTTCTCATGATCATTGACACTCCACGAGGAGAGATCTTGTATATGGTGCACCAGACCTAGGGCGACTGACAGTTATTTTGTGGTTCTTCCATTTGCGAATGATTGTACCTACTGTTGTCACCTTCTCACCAAGCTGCTTGGCGATAGTTTTGTAGCCCAGTTCAGCCTTGTGTAGGTCTACAATCTTGTCCTTGACATCCTTGGACAGCTCTTTGGTCTTTGCCATGGTGGAGAGTTTGGAATCGGATTGTTTGATTGCTCCTGTGGATAGGTGTCTTTTATACAGTAACAAAATGAGATTAGCAGCACTCCCTTTAAGAGACTGCTTCTAATCTCAGCTTGTTACCTGTATGAAAGACACCTGGTAGCCAGAAATCCTGCTGAATGATAGGGGACCAAATACTAAATTCCCTCATGAACATACAAATCAGTGCATAATTTGTTAGATATGCACTTCTTTTGAATTTTTGCTGCTATCCTGCCTCTGTGTTATAATACACCTACTGTTTGATTTTTAGACTGATCATTTCTTTGTGAGTTAACAAACATTCAAATCAGCAGGGATATATATATATATATATATAATATATATATATTATATAATATATTAGTACATATATATACGTATATATATATACACACAGAGAGAGAGAGAGAGACTATTATTTGGATATATACAAAACATTGAAATATTTAACACATTTATAAATGTGCAACATTGATTATGCTGCTGGGGTGTCTAATACACAGTCAGGGATTTTATAGATGGACGAGAGCCCTAAACCCATTTTGATTTTGTTTATGAATCGTTTTTAACCACTTGCCCTCAGAGATGATTTACCCCCCCTTCCTAACCAGTTAAGTTTTTGCAATATGGTGCTGCATTGTCTTTAACTGACAATTGTGCGGTCATGCAAAGCTGTTACCAAATGAAATTTTATGTACTTTTTCCCCACAAATAGAGCTTTCTTTCGGTGGTATTTGATTGCCTGTGCGGTTTTATTGTTTGCACTATAAACAAAAAGACCGACCATTTTGAGAAAAAAAAAAATATTTTTTTACTTTTTGCTATTAAACATGTGCAGTAAAAATAATTTAAAAAATCAAATTTTATCATAAATTTCGGCCAAATTGTATTCTGCTGCAATACATGTAAATTAATTTGGTTTTAAGTGAAAGTTATATCATTTACAAATGCGGTGTAGATAATGGAATTTTTAAAAAAAATTTTTTACTAGTAGTGGCAGCAGTCAGCGACTTATAGCGGGACTGCGGCAGCATTCTGACACTGGGGGGAACTGACTTGGTGTCACTGACATCCCCTGTGGACACCAGTACAGTGATCAGTGCTTATAAAAAGCACTGACACTGGGGGGCGCATGTGCGGCTGGCTACGGGATGGACGCGCTTTGAGCACAGCTCCGTCCACACCCGCCAGCTATAAAGCGGCACTCACCGGCCCCAGGGGAAACAAATCACCCCACAGTGTCACCTACCTCTGCCCGCATCCCGATCACCATGCCCCGCAGGAGGAGAGCCCCGGATCACCCCGGGAAGTTGACAAAATTCTTCCCTGCTATTGTGCAGGGAATCCAAGATGGCGGCGGCCCCGCAGCAGAGACACACAGGGAGACAGCAGCCACGAGGAGGACTACAGGGCCCAGCACAGGGATCCGAGGCTGCAAGAATCGCTTTATCCAGGGGACCCTGGTGAGTTATCACCCCCTTTGTCCCCCCACAACTAGCAGTCCTGCCAAATCCAGGCCACGTCTGGACCAGGACCCTAACCTCTCCTACCAAACCCTGAATCTCCCGCCTCCACCCCCTACTTTAAACCTACCAGATATAGACGCATTCCCAGCGGCGGATCAGCCGCTAATGGAGGTGTCCATGAAACACATGCTGACGTCACTGCGTCAATCTCTGCAAAACGACATTTTTGCGTCTCTAAACAAAATAACTAGCGTGGTACAGCACCAAGAACGCAGAATTTGCCACATTGAAAGCAGCTTGGGTGACATAATAACAGCGCATAACGATTTGATTGACGCTCATGCATGCAGATCACTCATCTGATATCGAGCAAATCAACTTAAAATTAGCAGATTTAGAAGATCGCTCGCGCCGCAACAACATTAAATTCAGAGGGATCCCTGAATCAGTGCCGAGCGAAAATCTGCTACCCTACATACAGCAATATACTTCAAACTACTCCTCCCAACACTTTCAGATCTAGAGCTCGCGATTGATCGAGCCCACCAACTGCCCAAACCGGCGTTTTTCTCCCGGCATCTATTCCAAGAGATGTACTGATCCGGGTACATTTTTACCACGTTAAAGAAAAAAATTATGATTGCGGTTAGAAATCCGCCACCTCTCCCGCCATCACATGCAAATCTCCGCCTCTATGCGGACTTATCCAAAGCCACGCTCCTTAATAGGAAAAAAATTATTTCCATCACTAAGGCCCTAAGGAATCACGTCATAGCTTACCAATGGGGCTTCCCAACTAAATTAATAGTGCAACGACAAGGCAGAATATTCACCGTCAGGAACCTAGAAGCAGGCTTAGACCTGCTCAAGACATGGCATCCTCCCTGCAGATACACAGGACACCACCTCTAACTCTGCCCAGCGCATGGAGGCATCGTAAGCAGTTACATGGAACATTCCAGGTGCTGAGATCTTTCCTTCCCCCCCCCCCCCCGGGGGTCATTTTTCAATGTTTAAACTTCTGGCGATCGGCCTACATTTGATGAAGTTCGCTCTCCAAGACCACGTTTGGCATGACCCTGCCAGCGGTCAAAGCCTGCCTATACCCTCCAGTTCTAAAGTAGCGATGTTGGCTACTTGGCCTATTTGCATTTCTTGCAAAACTATTTTTATTATCCCTTGTGTCTCCTCTCAACTTTTCCTACGGCACCACCAGCTACTCCTCCTTACTCCTAATCGTGTAATCCTTGAGGCTACATGGGCCACTACCTCTAAACCTTCACTCGAGCCTTACTGGTACCACAACTATGCTATCACTTTCCTTCCCCAGGAGATTACCGAGTCTCGACCCTCTCAAACAACAACCCAACGGTATATTTTCAACAAATAAAATTTATATAAATGATTAATTTAACATCTTTTAACGTTAGAGGCCTAAACTCTCCTTTCAAGAGATCGCTGCTCCTTAAAGAAACCCGGAAATCCCGAGCCAAAAATTCTCTTTATACAAGAGACCCATTTCGCCATGGAAAAAACGCCTAAACTACACCTGCACCATTTTCTCACAAATATTTATGGCAACCAATCCCAAAAAGAAAAATGGAGTTATTATAGCCATTAACGACTCTCTCCCTTTCCGCCTCATCTCAAAAATAGCCGACCCACATGGACGCTTTCATATCCTCATTTGCCAGATAAATGACATAACCTACACATTGGTGAATGTATACGGCCCAAACAACAACCAAATGTAATTTTATCGAACGCTCTACAAGACCATTTCTGACCATAAACAAGGCAGACTCATAATTGGCGGAGACCTCAACGTTATGAGCAACCCACTCGTGGACTCATCCTCCAAGAAGCAACCCACTAAATATACCTTTAATCAATTTCTACATGATCACGACTTGTAAGATATATGGAGATGCCAACATGGTTCCGAGAGAGACTATACCTACTACTCCCCAGCACATCTTTCATACTCCAGAATAGATATGTTTATCACTGACAAATGGACACTAGAACAAGTGACTTCCTCTAACATTGGAACCATTTCCTGATCAGACCACGCACCAATCAGTATATCCTTAGATGATGATCGACGCTCGGCGCTCCCACCGATTTGGAGACTTAACTCTTCACTCCTGAACAATCAGAAGCATATCTTAGAAGCCCACAACTTGTTTTTTGCTACCAAGACCACTCTGGATATCTCAATTACTACACTTTGGCAAACATACAAGGCCTACATGAGGTATCCTCATACAATTAAACTCCCGTATAAATAGACAGCGCTCCCAACAAATTGACCAACTTCTAACCTCCATTAACCTAAATGAGGAAATTAACAAAACCCTAACCCCTCCATATCCGCAACTCTAAACCAAGATAGAAACAAATTACGCACCCTTTTACTCCACTCTTATGACTCCAACCTCCAAAAAACAAAGACCAAATTCTGTGCACTCGGAAATAAAGCAAGCTCTCTTCTTGCTAAGACCATCAAACAAAAACGACTTAAGACCAAAATATCTACGATCCAACACCCAACCACACGCTCTCCTCTTACAAATCCACAAGATATTGCCAACGCTTTTGCAACATATTATCAGAAGCTATATAACATAAAAGATGATTCTAATACAACCCAACCAATGATTCCCTCCATTGAACGCTTCCTACATAACACCAACCTCGCCCACATCACCCCTTCTCAACTTGAATCTCTATTGGTACCAATCTCACCCATAGAAATTGAAAAAGTCATAACCACTCTACCTTTAAACAAATCGCCAGGGAACGATGGCTTCAGTAATGAATTCTACAAAACATTTGCACCCGACCTTAAATCATACCTATCTGCCCTTTACAATCACGTGGCATCTAATGGGGAATTCACCCCTGACATGCTACAGTCGATAATCACAACCAGCCCGAAACCGGGCAAAGACCCCCAACTCGCTCAAAATTACAGACCGATCTCGCTACTTAACACAGACATAAAAATATACGCCAAGATAATTGCCCAAAGATTACTCCCATACCTACCTACATTGATCCACCCAGACCAAGTGGGTTTTATACCTGGTAGACAGGCTCCTGATGCCACCAGGCGAATTATATCTCTACTACATCACCTTGAAACTGACAAACGACCCTCCCTTTTTTTATCACTGGACGCGGAAAATGCTTTCAACCGAATTCACTGGAAATTTATGACACTTACATTACAAAAGTTCGGCACTACGGATTGGATCTTGTCGGCGATCCTTGCCCTTTACTCTAAACCCTCTGCTAGAGTCCTAACTAATGGCACGCTCTCACAGCTCTTTTGTATATCCAATGGAACCAGACAAGGTTGCCCCCTGTTCCCCATAATTTTCGCCTTACTTATAGAACCACTAGCGACTAACCTTAGAAACGACCCAAACTTCACGGGAGTCAAATACCTCACCACCGAACACAAAATCAGTCTCTTCGCAGACGACATTATACTGATGATTACAAATCCATATAAATCACTCCAGACGATATGTACGCACATTCATGACTACGTGGCGGTCTCATACTACAAACTTAATGAACCCAAATCGTCAATATTAAATTTATATACGCCTCCTATAACCCAGGACTTACTTTCTAAACAGTTCCCTTTTACTTGGGAAAAGAGCAGCATTCCATATTTGGGGATTAAGCTCACCGCTACTACTAACCAACTTTACACAACTAATTACAGACCGCTACTCGAAACTATCCCACAGGATCTCAAGAGCTTTCGCACTTCTACTCTATCGACATTAGGTAGAATAGCAACCCTAAAAATGTGTATACTTACTAAGATACTATACATTTTCCGTACACTCCCTATCCCAGTCCCATACTCTTTCTTCACTAAACTCCAGGCAATATTAAACAAATTCCTATGGAACTCAAAAAAACCCAGATGCACCATGAATCTCTTAATACGTCCTACCTCCAGAGGTGGAGCAGGCCTCCCACATATGAAGTCCTACTACCAAGCTGTTCTATTAGACCAGCTCTTCTTCTGGTGGCACCCTCCCCTGAAAAAATATGGAGCACCTTGGAAACATCTTTGTACCTTCCACATGCTATAACGGACATACTATATCTACCCTGAGCAGCTCAAATTCAAGCGCTTCACAAACACCCATGCATACAAGCCTCCTTAACAGCATGGCACGATTTTGTTGACTATAATAAATTAGGGAACAGCAACGTCCAAACCCCTACCCCACTATCGTCCCTACATCACATCATCCCCCATCTAAACTTAATGAAGTGGACGGCCCTTGGCATACTTCACATTCAAGACATATACACCTCAAACAAATTAGACTCCTTCTACACCACTCAAAGCAAATTCCACCTTCCTGGCAATAAACAATTTACATATATGCGCATAGCCCATGCACTCCACAAAACAAATATTCCGCACACAACAGAAATTCCTGCAACTGCACATAATTTTCTTTCATAGAACCAACTACCCAAAAAAAGGAATCTCTATCTTTTACACACTTATAACCGAAAAGCAATTTGCAACATATACCTCCTCCTTAACCAATTGGGAGAAAAATTTCCACCAATTAATAACCCCAAGCATATGGGGAAAAACATTTACCATTACGTACAAAGCCTCGAAATGTTCCTCCCACTGGGAAACATATTTAAAAATTTTACATGAATGGTACTTAACCCCCACTAAATTATCCTTATTTTATCCACAACACTCGCGAGCCTGCTGGAGACACTGCGGAGAGTCTGGTACACTTTTCCATATACTCTGGAATTGTAGGTCAATTAAGTCTTACTAGAACAAAGTTTTCCAAATAATTTCCTCAATTACAGGTACGTTAGTAACCCCAAACCCCGCTTTAGCTCTCCTGCATATTGGCATAGATAAATTTCCTACAAACTCACAGACCATCATTATACATACTTTAGCAGCTGCAAAAAACAATATTACCAGACTATGGCGCTCTACCACCACTCCCCCTCTGTCTCGCCTCTTTTTCGATCTCAACCTCCAATGTGAAATGGAAAGAAGGATAGCCTTCCAAAACTCCTCCTTTTCACAAATTTAATACCCAATGGTCTCGATGGCTAAAAAAACCCAAACTGCTCTGTAAGATGATTATTATTACTACCCATTGTAACACACGTAACCCGTACTCCACTGGTGCCCTCTCTCTTTTCTTTTCCCTGCCCATTTTCTACTTCTCCCCCCCCCCCCCCCCCCATTTATAATCTATCGTCCTCTAGAAAGGTTCACATGACAATGAGCATACCTCTCATGTATTCAATTGGAACCTAAAGTATCCCCGGCCTAATGGTGGGGATCTTCTACTCCTATCTCTCTACTCATGCATTATATGATCCTTCAAGTGAACCCTTCCAGTTTCATGTTAATATGTTTACCTTTTTGTATGTTGGAAAATTTTTCAATAAATACCATTTGAATAAAAAAAAAGCACTGACACTGTACTAATGGCACTGGGCAGGAAGGGGTTAACATGGGGCGATAAAAGGATTAACTGTGTGCTGTGTGTATTTTGTAAATGTGCTGTGTTTCACTGTAAGCGCACTGCTTTGAATGGCTCTGCAATGCAGAGTCATACAAAGCAGTATGCAGGAGCTGACAGAGAAGAGATTTGTGCTTATATACAGGTCCCTCTCCCATCGAAGATACTTCACCGTCTGGGACCCGGTGATTGACAGCGGAGACCGTAAATGGTGCCGGGTAGGGGGCATATATATATATATATATATATATATATATATATATATATATATATATATATATATATAAATATATAGTTGTGTGTGATTTTGTGCACCCGTGCCGCCCTGTAGCAGTATTTCTGCTATAGGGTGGCCCGGAAGCGGCTACCTAATGTGTTTAATACATTTTGTAAAAATTGTTATTATCTGTCAGCACCTCAAAGTCCACAGTGTCTCTGAATTTTTCTTGATAGACTGGAGTAATAAGTCAAAGTTTAACTCCAGTTGAACACTACACTTTATAAGCAGCAAAGAGTTTTATCCCTTTAAGAATAAAGGTTTTTTTTATAAATAAAAGCTGTCAATTGTTAGAGTGAAATGCTTTGTTTCAACCTTCTGCATGCAGCTCCCCCCCAACCCCCCCCCCCCCTTATCCAATGATGTGCATGAGAACAGAGGTCCTGTCAGCTCTCTCCCTCTTCATTGGCTCAGAGACAGCAGTAGGAGCGGTTTGGCTTCCGCTGATGTCAATCACAGCCAATGAGGAGGGAGCGGGGGCCAAGCCACGCTCTGTGTGTCAACAGAAGACACAGAGCGGGGCTCGGGAACGAGCATGCAGGATTGCCCCCATAGAAAGCAGCTTGCTATGGGGGCACTTGGGGGAGCAAAGAGAGCCAGTGGGGGGGGCCGAAAAGAAGGGATTGAGCCATTGCACAAGGCAGGTAAGTATGATGTTTTAAGTTAAAAAAAAAAAAAAAAAAAAAAGCAGTTACAATCACTTTAAAACAAATGACAAGTTGCAAAAGAGAGTAGGACAATCCTGTCAAAGAATCTTTAAATATAATATTAGTAAAGAGATTAGGCCTAAGCTGGTATCATCCCTACAAGATAAAAGAATGGTGTCAAAGAGAAGGCAAACTGATTAAATAATGGTTAAGCTCTGTGTATAAAAAGTAAATTGGTGCAGCTAAACGCAAAATAAGATTAATATTACCAATGCCTCAAATTAACTTTACTGCCATAATAAGTAGCAAAAGAAAGTTGCATATGTTGTAAACGCAAGTGGGTTATATATATGTACAATATACTGCAGGCCTCAAAACGTCCACTCGCCTGCTCGCATTTTGAGAGTGGAAATAATGTGGGGGCAAGTGTGTCTCACAGGGCTGTCTTAATGAGCAGGCTCTGGACTCAGGGCCGGCTCTGTCACTTTAGCAGGGCACTTGTGTCTCCTGAGGCCACCTGACAGGTTTTGGGAGCAGGTCCTCACGCAAGGATTGCCCCCACACTCAAACCCGCCCGCTCCCCATTGGCTGGAGAAGAGAGAGACTGGAAAAGGGGGAGAAGTAGACACATGCTGTCACTTTATGGAGAGAGGTGATACAGCTGCAGAAGCTTGGTCTGAGGGGAGGAGGAGGCAGGCCCTATACAAATATTGTGAGCGTAGCTATAGCCACTCTATAGATGAGCAGTGGTAGCTATTAGGCAAAGGACAATGTCACAAGTTAGCCTGCAGCCTCTTGTGTGTTTATTCTTACCTCTTTGCTGCTCTTGATTCTTCACATGTGTGTTTGTCTGTGCTCACCTGTGGGTGTCGTCTGCTATTCCCTTTCATCACTTCCTGGGTCACCTCCTAGCTTTCTTGTCTATTTAAGACATGCTCAGTCTGTCCCACTTTGCCTGAGCAATGTGTTGTTGTTGGAGCTCCCTTGTGGTTCTACTGAGAATCCTTTATAGTCTATCTGTGTACTGACCCTGGCTTTGTTCCTGACATTGCTAGTTTTCCGCCTGTCCTGACCTTGGCTTGCCTACTGGATTCCCTGTGTCTACTCCCATTGTACCTTGCTCCTGCTAGCGGTCTCCTCTACCTCAGCTGGGTGTACCTGGGGGCTGCCATCCCCACCATCAGGGGCCCTGGTGAACAAGCAGGCTGGGGCTTAGACTCTGCGCCCTGGGGAACCCCAAGTTGTGGATCAAAGAGCTCACTACCACAGGTGCTAACAGACAAACTTGTTTCTCAGAAGTATAAAAGGCACAGTGTTGTGCTGGAGTACACACACACACACTAAAGTGAAGACTGAAAACTTGGTGAGTCCCTGTCCAAACACCTCCCCCTTTGACAATTGCATACTTCCCTCCATTGCCTCTGCTGCTTTGAGTCTCTGAGCTGTATTTGACAGCAATGCTAAAATCGGCCTCACCTCCTTCAGTGCCCCTTGTCCCTCTGCAGAGCACTAGTGCCCCCTTCTACCACCACAGGGCATCAGAGCCCCCCTTCTCCCTCCACAGGACATCAGTGCCCCACCTTTCCATCATGCTGAGCATCAGTGCCCCCCTTGCCCTCTACTTGTGGTAAAGTAGTTCCCCTATTGATGTAAAGCACTTATTTTCCTTTACATTGATGTTATGTTTATATTGTTAAAGTTGTTGGTGGTAATTCTTTTTGTAACTTTATTCTGCATACAACATTTAACAGTGTCATTTCATGAGATAATTTATGAGGGCATATTTAGGGGCTGGGCAAAGTAGGGGTAGGGTGGGGCAACTGGTGGTGAGTAACTTTTAAGGCCTGGCTAGTAGCTCAGGACTTGAAATTTTGAACCCTGGTACACTGTATATAAGTATAATGTGGCTGTAGTAGGGGGAAGTAGAGCTATGTTATACTAAGTAGATGTGTCATGGTAAATTTAAATGCACATAATGGATATAAAAAAAATTATGTCAGCAGTGAGGTCCTAAGGAAGTCGACAGACATGCATTGAGCTAGAATTTCTGGCTTGTTTGTTTTATATATGTCTATATGCTTTTAATCTTTTAAGTAAATGTAAATGCACAAGGGAAGCCCTTCCTCTAATGTCTCTTCTTCATTGCCGGAGCAGAACTTGTTTGGAGACAGAAAGCAGCAAGATATTGAGTAGGAAGTAGGAATGCACCATAATTTTGGTGGCCGAAACATTTCGACCGAAAACACTTATTGACCCCATATCTCTCCATAAAGAGGACCTGTCACTAATTATTTATATCACAAGGGATGCATGCATCTATTGTGATAGGAATAAAAGTGATTGCATTTTTTTTAAAGGGACAGTGTAAACAAAACTAAAATTTTAAATAAAAAAAAGTTTAACATCCCCCTGTGCTTGCACGTAGTGGTGAACGCTTTCGTAGGCCATGCCCACATATGTAAACGGTGTTCAAACCACACATGTGAGGTATCGCCAAGAACGTCAGACCAACAGCAATAATTCTAGCACTAGATCTCCTCTGTAACGTTACACTGGTAATCTGTAGAAGTTTTTAAAGCAGCACTCATGAAAATTAAGTACCGTAGTTTGACGCCATTCCACGAGCGTGCGCAATTTGAAAGCATGACATGTTGGGAATGTATTTACTCGGTGTAACATCATCTTTCATATTTTACAAAAAAAAAATTATATATTGCAGTTTTTTTTTAACTTTAAAATGTTTTTTTTTTTTTTCCCCAAACAATTGCGTTTGAAAAATATATTACTATTTAAAAACTGTCCATTTTGGTTTCAGCCAAGTGCATCCTGAAGTTTTAGTTTTTCGGCACCAGAATTTTCATTTTAGTGCACCACTAGTATGCATTATCACAGAAATATAGTACTTCTAGGTATAGGGATGGCAACAGCACCCAAAAGTCTGAAGAGACATTAAACTGTAAAGTGACTTACTGTAGCATTGTCATAAGGCTCCAGTGAATGAGATTCATACAGGGATTGGTGAAGGTAGGAGTTAAAGCTTAGTTCACAGTACTGCTAAGTGATTTTGACTGTTTGCAGTGCGATTATGTAGTGCAACTTTGGTGGAATTTACAGTGCGATTTGGCCCCATCAAATATGCAAACCACATCCAAAATGTATCCAAAGTAGCGCAGGACCCTTTCCCAAATTGCATCACATCTGCGCTACAATGTTGTGAACAGGCACCATTGGAAGCAATGTTATTTCCATTGTCATCTGATTCATTACGACCCAAGACACATCTGAAATTGCATAAGTGTGAACCAAGGGCATAAATTATAAATCTGTTTGTTGCCACAGTTAGGCTTGATCATATGCTGTTTACCTACCTTTAAGTTTGTTTTGCCTTGTTAAGCCGCTGACTGTTTTTACATTCCCCTTTGTCTTATATGCAGTAAAACCCAAGCTGATGGGAACACAAGTTTTCAGAAATTATGACTTGGAGAAATTAAGCCAATACATTGACTGGAAGCCGTTCTTTGATGTATGGCAACTCAAAGGAAAATACCCCAATAGAGGTTTTCCAAAAATCTTTAATGACAAGTCTGTGGGTAAGTAAATATCTTGTTTTGCAGATATGAAGAATAATTTGCTGCAAATGTTTTTTCATTTGTGTGTTGAGGGGTAAATAATTTATCTTAATCGCACAGTACAGACACAGGCGTGGATTTTCATAGACCGTGGGTTATAGGCTGGTACCTTCAGGTGACTGAACAGAGGCAAAACTTTGCTGGACACTTCTCTTTGGGCATACCCCTATAACACTACCACACTCTGTGAGACTTCTGTGTGTTTTTTTTTTTTTTGCTAGTGTCCTAAGGTGATGGACCTCTTCTCCCTTATAGAGAACTCATTGCCTCACTAGTTTTATTATTTTATTTTAAATTTTTCACATGAACACAGTCTTCTATTTCAATAGTAGAAGCAGTTCATCCTCAGTTTAACCTTGGGGGCTGTACCTAAAACCCATACTGTCCGATGGCCTGTATTGAATTGGGCACTGGATTTTGCTTGGAAATTCACCTTTGCACTTAATGTAACGTGTGTACAACATAGTTAGCCATAGGGTGCTATACAAGCTCAGGCTGTGTTCCATCCCTATGAAACCCAGACCCTGAAGACCTCTCCAAGGACATGGCCACTGTGATGTTTGAATCTTGGACTCTGATTAGGGACCAATGCCATGAGGAGGCAAGACAAGTTTACCCTGTACTTGACTGATTCTG